AGCGGCCGGAGCAGCAGGCAGCGGCGGCGGAGGGCCTGCAGTAGCCGCAGCAGGCGAGGCTGGGAGGGGGCGCCCGGGCTGGGTCCCCACGGCCCCCATCGCGGCGGAGCAAGGACAAAGCCCCCGGCAGCCGCCGCCGCGGCCTAAGCCTAGCGCACAAAGGCCGAGTCCCGACACGCACCCATCCCCCTCCCGGCTCGGGGTGGTCCCGGTCCGGGGGGGCTGCGGGAGGTGGGGAAGCCCCAGCCACGCCGCCCGCGATCCCCTCCCCGGGCCGAGTGCGCGCTGCCCCCGCCCCGTCTGCCCGTCCTCCCGGGGAGGGGTTGGGGGGCGCGGCGCCCACATAACCCTCCCTCTTCTGCGCTCGGAGCCACCCCTCTCCCCTCCCTCCTGCGAACACCACCGCCTTCCCTGCCACCGCCGCCACCTCGCCCGACGTTCCGCAGCTCGCCGCTGCCGGAGGGCGGTGCGCGGCCGGTGCGCGCCGGAGGCGCCAGATGTGCAGTCCCCGCCGCCACCAGTGACCAAGCCGCAGCCCGAGCGCTATCCGGGCCGCCTCACTAATGCTGCGGGGGCGACCCTGAAAGCACCCCGCATTCCCTCGGCGGGGACCTCGACACTCCGAGCGTTGTGCCCCAGACCTGCCCTCTCCAACCCAGTCCGCCCGCGTTTGGACATGGAGGGGGCCGCTGTGCCCGCAGCGGGGGACGGCCCAGACTTGGGGTCGGGGGCTCCGGGCTCTCTCCCAGAGGCGGTGACGGGGGCGACCGCAGCCCCCGCGGCGGCGGCGGCTGTAGTCCCGGAGCCCAGGAAGCCGCACGGGGTGAAGCGGCATCACCACAAGCACAACTTGAAGCACCGCTATGAGCTACAGGAGACCCTGGGCAAAGGCACCTACGGCAAAGTCAAGCGGGCCACCGAGAGGTTTTCAGGCCGAGTGGTGAGTGAGGAAATCCGCGGGGGGCGCCGGCTAGACGCAGCTGGGGATCGAGGGCGCGTGGCGCGGGGTTCTGTGCACGCTGGGGCGCTCTTGTGGGACAGGGGGTCCAAGGGAAACCCCGGAAAGACTCCTCACTCTGACCCCCGGCACCGGCACCCTGTGACTCAGGCGTGTCTCTCTCCTGAAACACTTGTTACATCCTGTCTGCACATATTTTGGGAGTTTTTTTTAATCCCAGCAGCAAAGTAGTGTTTATGATTTGCAGACAACGTTGGGAGTGTCGGGGTCTCCCTCGCGGGCAGGCATGCAGACTGTGCCCAGGAATGCTTAATTCCTCCAACTCCAGACAGATCCACATCCTCAGCTCAGAGCCGGTCCCCTAAGTCCCGTGTCCTCTAGGTGAATGCGGCCCCCTGCACCCACCCACCCATCTACCCACAGACCCTCTCTCACCATCATCCGACTCCGGCTCGCTGCTGCTGCTGCAGCGGCAAGTGGGGCGGACTCGTGCCTGTTTTTTTTTTTTTTTTAAGAGAGAGGGTTTAGGGAACAAAAATAAAGGCTGTGGTCAGCCTTAGGGTTGTGATAGTTTTCCTGGTGGCTTCTGAGAGGGCTGAATTGCCCATGGACAAGTGCAACCATAAAGATGCAGAGTTGCACTGGACTCTGTATTTCAGGTCCAGGCTGCAGGGCAACTAAATTGCTTAAGGCCCAACTGCCCCATCCCCTGTGACAGCTGAAACCCTGCCAGGGTCCCAGCATCATTTGCACAACCCCAACAAGCGCTTTGAGTGCCTTGAGGTCTCTGCACCATCCCAGCCTAGGTTTGTTGTCATTTTCCTTTCTGCACAACAGGCCCTTGAAATCCACACTGGTTGTGGCAAGAGGGTTGGGTTCAAAGTGTCTGACTGTTGCATAAAGATTTTGTGTGGTGTGTGGCAGAAAATGAACATGAATCTTTGATTTGATTTGAGCAGATCCGATGTATTTTAATCGGTTTAGGACCAAAGTAAGGAATCGATTGTGGGACTCCTTGTGTGCATGTTTGGGAGGGTATTCTGGGTCCCAGGGTTGTTTATAAACGTAACAGGTGACCCACAGGGAAAAAGAGAAATGAACCGTCGAATGAAATTGTAGGCTCATGTTGACATTTTTCTTTTGCCTTTGCACGGGGATAGTTATGTGGAAAAAATGAGGCATTATCAGCAAAGTTCAGCCCCCAAATTCTCAGATATCTGGATATAGCAGGGTGCATGAATAATCTGGATAACCTCCTCATTTCTCAGCTTCATTGTTTGGGTTGACATCACTTTGTCCTATAGCTTTAAAAAAATCTGTTGCCAGTTAATTGGAAATTCGAGACATCGTACATATATTTTTAAGCTGCCTCAGTGATAAATTCTGTAGTAAGCAAGGAGCAGAGAATTCACTCTAAGCAGGTGCCATTTTCCTAGGCTGACAATTTTAGGCAGATGGGCTGTGGAGATGCCCTTTGGTGAACACACTTTCAGGTTTGCGGAAGAAGAGGCTGAGAAAAACGCACTTCATTCATGCTTTTCTTCTGAGGTGATATTCCCCAGGCTGAATAAGTAAAAACCAAGCTTAGCTCCTCGCTCATGTTGTCTTAATAGCTGTTGAAGAATCGTGCAGGGAAGTCGGAAAGAGGAATAATGAAAAACAGATCCAGGCATTTCAAGCTGCAGGTTGAGGGTGTGAGAATGTGAGGGGTTGAATGGTAAGGGTGTGGCTGATATCTGTGAGGGGACAAAAAATGCCCAAGTGCTGGGAGCTGCTGCAAACCATTTGAAAGAATGAAACCTTTTCTTCTGGCAAATGCCTTTCCAAGCTTCTTTGGGGCTTCCTGTCAGGCGTTTTTCTAGCCGTATGAGCCACAGACTGGGTTAGAGTGAAACGGACTTGCATCAGGAGGCAGGAGTCTGCCTTTCTCTTCTCTTGGGCTTGTTTTCTCTGTTATTTGCAGAAACCCTGAACATTCCGTCAGGATTTAGTCAAATGACCACGGGGGGGCGCCCTGAGAACAGAAGAGGCTCTTTTTTTAATCTCAAGATTTACATTGGCTGTTATTGTCCAGCCCTAGTTCAGTTTCCCATTGTGCTATTCATTTCACTTAAATCTCTTGTTTTACTCAAAAATTATGTAAAGATTTTGAATCTGGCAGCAGATCCAGGCCCAGAAACTGGCAGTCTCCAAATGGCTTTATTTATTCATGGGACCGCTTCTACTTGACAGCTAAGTTCAGAATGCTGGCAAAATCATCTAGGGGGAAGCTTGCCTTAAACAGATGGGAAAACTGAGGTTCGGTGAAGGGAAAGTCTCCTTGGCCCTGAGTCCTCCCCCTGCTGAGAACCCTGCTCACAGATGGTGTAAGAACTTAAGTGAGAAACAGGAGCTGTCAGGTGGAAAATTCCCTTTGCCTAGCTGGACAGAAAATAAAACAACAATAGAAAATCGGTCAGCAAGTTGTTCTTGCCCATACGGTGCTGGTGACTCCGAATCTGTCAAGAGCAGCACGAGATTTTCATATAAAGTATGAACTTCGGGTTGTTTTTTTGTGGGGGGTTCCAATGATGCACTAAGCCACAGCTTGCTTTTGAAGTGCAGTAGAGGAGAATCGAGAGAGCGCTGTCCGCCTGCCTTATTGGTCTATGAGTAGGATTTTGAAGTGGTGTTTTATTTTAATTTTATCAACACCTTTTATAGCATCTCTCAGGAGGTGCAGTGGCTTTACCCTGCTTTGCGTATGCGAGTGGCTCAAGTTGTGTGCTGGGTATCAGGCTGCTTGAGATACTGTGAAACTGACATTCGTGGCAAAAGCAGGGGCCCCTCTCAGAGACGACAAGACATCTTCAAATATGAGAGTGTTGTGGCTTCTAATTACACATGTAGCCGGACCGTCTGAATAAAAGAAAACACAACATCATCTTCTCTGTTCTGTGAAAGGCGCTTTGGAAGAGAGTTGCAGAATCAGGAGCTTGGAGTCAGCGATCCAGCCAGCCCTCTGAGTGATCCAGAATCAGGAGCTTGGAGTCAGTGATCCAGCCAGCCCTCTGAGTGATCCAGGCATCCTCCTCTCTTCATTCCCAATGTGGCCTTGCAGCCACTGCTTGAGGATGCCCACAAGACAAGTGGCTGGTTGCAGACATTAACAATCCCAACAACGAGGCCCTCAAATACTTCAGATACTCGACCCATCACTTACTAGCTTTGTGACCTGGGGCAAGCTGTGCAACTTTTTGATACCTCGGCTTCCTCATCTGTAAAATGGGGCGATTTCGTGGATTTGTGAGAATCAAAATAATCTGTATAAAGCCTCAAGAGGAGAAATTAGCCAATTTAGCCCCACCTTTTAGCAGATTTCTTTCTCATTTCATTTAGGTTGTAAGACCATCAGAGAGGCATGATGTGTTGGACAGTTAGCCTTGTACCACACAGAGAGGGGTAGGGAAATTGTCAACTTTTCAGGGTAATTAAATACGTGCTAGGTTAATTAGGGAGGTGCGTGCACAGGAAGCCGAGGCAATCAGCTAGGTTCAGATAGGATCTGAATGCATTTCTCAAGTCTGGAAATCAGGCCTTGTTTATTACACAACATTTGTTTTGATACAGTTCTGGCCAGGACTGTAGGGTGAGCCCCTGTGTCATAATAGGAGCCTGTGTTTTGTTTGAACTAAACTCCGTGGACTTGTAGGCCATATCAAGCATCGCCAACAAACAAAAACAAAAGCAAACAACTTTTGGGGGGAGAAATGTCATGTGATCACCTCATCGCCAAGGGCCAAGTTCAACTTTCTCTCAGTCCCAGGTCATCACTTGTGAGCACTGTGTGGTGTAGTGTGAGCAGGAGGTGGGTGTCTGGGAGGTGTCTGGGAGGGGAGTGCAGGACAGGTGGGCAGAGTGTACCCCCAGTCTGCCGTGGTCTCCCCCCCCCCCGCCATCAGAGTGCTAGCTTGGGTGATGTGAAGTGATTTGACCAAAAATGGATGTTTTATGCACTGGCCAAAAGTTATTCATAGCCTCATGCTGGAAAACTGCAAATCAGGGAGGCAAATTAGTAAACTGCCCTGCTAAACTAGGAGGTGTGTGGATGTCATATGCACAACAGCTGAAGTGCCTGCCAGGTTGTAGCTAAGGCCCAAACCCAGGTTTAGAATATAAGGGACCTTGGCAAACATGTGGTCCAACCTTCTCCGGGAGGTGGGAAAAATAAGGCACAGAAGAGTTAAGTGACTTTTCTGGGGTTGCACGGCTGTTAAGTGACTGAGCTGGGTCTAGAAACCTGATTCTTGCCTTGATATTTTCCCATGACTCATTTAATAAATCTTTACCTAGAGCAAGACAAGGAGTTCCTGAGTAGCGTAAATGGTTAAGCACTAGACTGTTAGCTGAGAGGCCGGCCATTCAAACCTAACCAGAGGTGCCTCAGAAGACAGGTCTGGTGATCTGCTTCTGAAAGGTCACAGCCTTGAAAACTGTATGGAGCTCAGTTCTGCTGTGCACAGATGGGGTCACCATGATTTGAAATTGACTTGATGGCAACTAACAACAGCAGAGTAAGACATGGTTCTTACTCTGAAAGCCCTTATAATTTAGTAGCAAAGATGAGATGTACTGACAAATAGTGAACTAATTCTGTTCAGTTCAACAAAGATTTATTACCATCTACCATATGCTTTGCGGGAGAAAGATGTGGCTATCTGCTTGCGTAAAGATTACAGCCTTAGAAACCATATCGGGGCAGTTCTACTCTGTCCTAGAGGATCTCTGTGAGTCAGAAGCCACTTGACGGCACCCAACAACCACAGCAAGCTGTACAACCCTGGGCAAGTTACTTAGCCTCCCTAAGTGTCAATTTCCTCATCTGTAAAATGGATCTAACTAGAGTGCACACATCGTAGGGTTGTTGTGAGGATGAAATGAGAAATGAATGTCTGTAGAGCACTTAGCACAGTGCGACACGCCCCCAAGCTCTTAAAAATGTC